TATTCACTTTCCTGACAAAATAAAATAATAATATGTTATACTAGAATTTGAAGCTACTTGGTTTTACCTGATGTAATCAGATTTCATGTAAAGATGTTTTCTTTAACTGTCAATGAAATTGGGGACCAGTATCTATACTTTTGGACCATAATACCTTGAATTACCTGGAAAGCGAAGAACAGGGTTCATATTTCTTAACTGGTTTCAACTACTTTGTCAAAGCTCAATGACATTAAATGATGATTTTGGTTTATCGGTTGTTTTCTAGTAACCTTAGGAGGAATATTATTAATAAATGGACATTTTTTATGTAGATATAATTTTTCTGTTCCTTGAAATTTTCAAAACTTTCTCCAATGAGAAAACTTTTTCCTCATACGAGGTGGTTTTAAACATAAAGCTCATTTATGATACAGGTGATAATTTGGATATGCATAAGTATTTCTATATTATTTCTTCAGATATATTTGTTTAAGAAAAGTAGTTCACATCTCATACATTGAACACAACCACTGACGCAAACCATAATAATAAAATATTTACTTAATTATTTCAAAATTTTACATTTTTTAAATCAATACTTATTTTCATTTTATGTGTATGAATGGTTTGCTTGCATACATATCTGTGCACCACATGAGTCCATTACCCATGGAGGACACAGCAGAGCATCAGATCCCATGGAACTGGAGTTACAGATTGTTGTGAGTTGCTTATGTGAATGCTGGGAATCAACCCTGGTCTCCTTGTAGAACAGTCAGTGCTCTTAACTGTTGAGCCATCTCTGCAGCTCAAGTTTAAAAAAAATTTAAAGTATCAAAATGCATTCCAGCTCATTTAAAGACAAACATGGAAAAGGTTTTTTATAAGTTAGCTATTATTTCTTTGTTTCCTTACAAGCGTTCATATTACTTTACTCTCTGATACTGATAATTTCCTTTCTCAGTTTTTAAAGACATGACTACAAAATATAGAAAGACGATGTGATTCTCCATCAAAACAAATAAAACAAAACCAAACTTACCATACTAAAGGAGATGATTTACACAGGATACAGAAAGCTATTTGTGATAGATAAATTTATAAAGGTAAGTATGTTTGCAATACATATATAAAATATGTGTGTTAAATAAGTTATTAGAGGAGCTGGGAGGATAGCATATAATTGAAAACATTTAATTGAAGGGGCTTGCTTACAGTTTCAGAGGCTCAGTCAATTATCATCATGACAGGGAGCATGGCGGTGTGCAGGAAGTCAACTGTCTCACTGGGCAGTATCCTGAGCATTGGAAGCCTCAAAGCCTACCCCACAGTAATACCTTTCCTCCAACTGCTACAGCAAGGTACACATCTAAAGTATAGTGTGATGATGTACATCTGTAACTCAAGGATTAAGGAGAGAATGGTAGGAAGAACCTGGAGGCCAATCTAGCCAAATGAGGAACTCCAAGTTCAGTAGCGGACTCTGTCTCAAAACTCAAGATTGCAAATGAATGAGGAAGACCACATGTCAAAATTAGTCCTCAACAATTGTAAACACCACACACACACACACACACACACACACACACACACACACACACAAACACACACACCACAATCTGAGTACCATTAATTCCATGTGTTTAATATAAATTTTTAAATACACATTTTGAGAGCCACAAATTGCTACTGAACAGCAATAATAATATTAAAACAATTTAGCAATCTATCAAGATGGTACCTGCCTCCTGAAGATTACAGAATACTTTATTCTTTATCATTAAGTGATTTGAATTAAACATGAACACCTCTAATACTAGGCTGCTAATACTGTCTTCTAAATATATTTATGAAACTAATTATTTTAGCTTAGTACAGAATACATTACTGGGGTTGAACTTTACTTCCAAAATGATAGTAAAATCTTGATTTTGATTCTCTCTCAGGAGTGCATAAATTCCAGATAGACTAGACATTTGTAATACATTTATAATTTATGGAAAGTCTGTCAGGAGACAACAAAAAGGCAAAATCTTTCTCAGCATTCTTGCCTTATTGTGATGGGATTCACCAATGAACAATTAATTATAATGTAGCCACCAACCTCCAGGAGAGTCTATCCTGGTTGGTTTTGAGGTCGGTATAAGAGTTTAATTCTACCATATTACTATCAATCTGAGTTGCTAACTACAAAGCATTTTGAAATGAAGCATCAACATTGCTTTGTAATATGCCTTCCACTTGAGAAGTTCAATGTTTGAGTTTTACATCTTCATGTAAACATTGATTACATATTTTCATCAATTGTGAGTAGTTGTTTGGCAAAAACCAAGGTGAGCCTTTGGGAACATACTCAATTTGATCATATAAGATATTAAGAATGAATTAGCTAGTACTTATTTATTCTCAGAGCATCTTTTGTTTATAAAAAGCTTATCTTACATTAGAAAAATCATTAATTTAGTGGGTATTTGAACTCCATTCATAATAGAAAACATGGTACTTTAAACCGAAATTACATTTAAACATATCAAGTTATGATTTTATTAAAATAGAAGTGAACTGAAACACAATAAAAAGTGTCTATTTTGAAGTGGCTTAATAAACATAATAATCAGAAGTCCATTGAATCTTATCTTTAATGAAGTTAGACTCTATTATAAATACACACCCAGTCTTTTCCCACTTATCCTTACATATGTTTATAGCCACACAGATGCATTTGCTAAAGGGGCTGAAAGAAGTGGTTTATATTTTTATAAGATTTCCTGCTCTTCTTTTCTCCTTAAAACTGGATTTTTGTTCTGTACAGGTTGAAATTTTAGATTTTTTTCATTTGCCAAAAGGTTCTAATGCACTACTAAACTAATAACCCTTTCTCTATGTGAATATCATTATGATTCAAGAAAAAGAGGTGATGAAATGGAGACAGGAAGACATTGATCTTACTATTTGATACTGTAGGGAAACAATACATTTGCTGTATTTTCCTCACTGGGCTGCTTAGAAATCTTCCAGTCTTTCTGTCTTTGTCCTTTTGCCTGTCTAACTTTTCTATTTTCTATTGCTGAACTCTCTATCATTGATACATACTTAAATTATTTCATTCATACAAATCTCTTCTTATGTATCCTGTCCAGTGTTCTGAGTTTGAATTAAATTAGAATGTTTTAAAGCAATGCCCAAGTTCTTGTTGCTATTCTATTTCAAAGATAGGATAGATTTTTGTCTTGAAAACTAATTTAATAATCTAATTTTAGTGAATTTTCTGTAAGATATTGTAGGCTAAATAGATATTAGTTCATAGCAAATATCATAACATTTGCTTGAATCCTCTATTAACTTTTAGAGTGTGAAGATTTCATTCTTCTTAGATTATCACCAGTTAAACACCACTCAATTTTGTTCATAAAGGTGGTTGCCCCTTCTGCACTATTTTTAAATACATACTAGTTTCAAATCATGCAAACAAATACATTTGCAATGTTATCTAACTTGTACTTGTGTGTGTATGCATATAGATATGCATGTATGTGTGTGTATGTGTATCTGTGCATACATTTTCACACCAGAAAGAGATGCTGCTAATTCTATGTGTATCAAAATCTTATCATTCCTATTTTCAGTGCTAAGTAGAATTGAGTGAGAAGTGAGAGAGAACAGGTCCCTTTTTGATAGTCTGTTGACAGGTGAAATATTCAACTTACAGTGACAAAGTAGACATTTCTAACATAAATGCCTCCTAGCTATGCTTCAGAATGAAATTTTCTTAGAAGGCTCGGTAGAAGGCTGTTTGAACAAGCTGTCATATCTTTTACAAATCCATCAGCTACTTTTTACGAGGTTCAGCAGCTCTTTATGACTATAATAAAGGGAGAGTAGAGGCCATGTGTGTATCCAATGAGCCCCAAAGCAAGCATCCTAACACGAAATGTAATGAGGTCTTTGGATGTTCCTTCCTGGAACCAGCTGCCTGGTTGCTCTCCTAACGCATTTTTTCATAAGCATTTCATTGTCACTGTAATAATGAAGGATTATGAGGGATGTATGAAGTATGCTGGGCAGTCATCTTTACTAGCTAATCTAATAATTGTCAAAATATTGTACACACCATGAAAATTAATTTATAAATCAAAATGGAGGTTAAAATTTCCTGAAATTCAAACAGACCATGTAATATAAACTTTCTGATATATTTAACTAATAGTATATTTCTTCATAGTACCATATCAATGTGTGATTTTAAAAATAAACATCTTAAAACTTTAAGTATAAATGAAGATTACATTTTAAATAGGGCATAGATTACCATGTTTCTAAGATTTCTCAGATCATATATCATGTTGTAGTGACAGAATAATAAAATATTATGCCTTCATCAATTTCCATGGGGGGTGGGAGGAGGGAGGACAGGAGAATCCGTGATTGATATGCAAAAGGAATAGAAAAATCTCTTAGTAAAAAGAAAGGGAAAAATGTCTGTATTATCTTGCAAATTTAGTCTGTCATAGTCTTATTTTCCAAACTCTTCTTTGTCATGAAATGTATTAATAGAAAATAGTACCAAAATTTTTGACTAATCAAGAGAGGCCTTACCCTCTCTAAGGAGAGGATGGGGTTGGGATGGGGGAAAGTAGGGGGACAGGAGAAGGGGAGGGATGAGGAACTGGGATTAGTTTGTAAACTGAAAAATATACTTTAAAATTTTTCATGAATATGTTCTAGTCACTATGCTCCACAGTAAACCATTTGAAATAAAATTCATGAGCTACTTTTTCAGTGATAAAGTATTGGCATTTTGATTTTTTTAAATTGTGTTTGCTATAGAAACACAGATACTAAATTTAGTAATTTTATTCCTTTCTTTTCCATAAAAGTCAATACTAAATCATCTCCTTATAGACAAATAGCATATAAATACATCATGTAGCATGTTTTTAAGTTTTCTTATCAATAACTAAAGGTATTTTGACCTCACTTCACTTCCTTTAAATATATTGTGTCTTTATTTATAATTTTTGTGTATGTAAATTGTAGCACATTAATAATGTTCAATTTACATCCTTTGACAGATTTCCTAGATTATGCTGTTCAAAGAAAGTCAACATGTGAAAAATAAGATTATCTTATTCTACACTTCTTTTTACCTCTGCATGAAATCATGTCTGTTTTTCTCTACACATATCTTTATTTTCATGAAATCATTTTTAATAAGCACAGTTGATCAGGCAGCCTAGCATCCTGTCACTCTCTTTCTAACACATTTGTCAGTTTAACTTTCATAGAACACATTTTAAACGCTGAGATAAGGAAAATCTGTCCTTACTAACATATTCTATTGCCAAAACTTTATATGCTTCTATTTACTCTCAATTTTCCATTTAAGATTTAATTTTAAAATTGATTTTCCCATTAATAATATTTGTGAAATGTTCTTTCATAACATGTACAATTATGTGATCAAATTAAGAATTGTATAAATGAGAACAAATGGAACCAAAATCCAGTAAATGGAAAGGAATAATAAGGGAAGAGCAGACATCAATCAAGTAGATGAAAACAAGTCAAAGAATTAACAGCTCTAAGAGGTGGTTCTGTGAGAGGATAAACAGATCTACAGAATCTTAGTTCACAAAACCAAAATAAATAAGGAAATTACACAAGGGGGCAGAAATGAATGGGAAACCATTGTAACAGAAACCATATTTGTATCATTAAGTAATTTATTTGTGCACATTTTCTTTCTTTCTTTTCTTTTTTTTCCCAATGAAAATGTTTAGAGATATCTATATTTCCTGCTGGGCTGTTTTTAATGTGTCCCAGAAAGTTTGATGTGTTGTGTTTTTTATATTCATCTACTTCTAGGTTATTTTTTGTTGTTGTTTTCTTCTTTGACTCATTTATCATTTACTATTGTGATTTTAAAAAAATCTCTATGAGTCAATGTCAGTTGGAAACCATATTCCTTTATTTTAATATATTTACAAATATTTTTCAGACAAATCTAATTTTGTAATTTGCTTTCTACATAATTAAATTAGTTCAAAATGTTATAAAATATTTTACCAACTTAAATATAATTGAATAAAGCACAATAAAATTTAAACTATAAATGTTTTAATTTTCTTGTTAATGGCCAGTATTGGTACAATTTATTTCCTACAGTGTCTCTCTAAACTCATGGTTGTAGATTATGTTGTGTTACTGTTGATTATAATGAAATGATAGTTTCTTATTCCTACGTTTATAAGGTAATATATTCTTTCCATCACCATTTTCTGCCTCTTTTTCTCATTACTTCTTGTTTATATTTCATTTTGCATATCCTTTTCTTCTCCTAGAAGTACCTTCTTATCTTTACTTTTAAATAATTTTTAAATTTTTTTCATTTGACTAAATATCATCTTAAAATTATGAAGAATTTTTTGTTGCATACAGATTTTAAATATCTCTTGATTTTTTTCAGCACATTGATGACATTGGTCTGTCTCAGACTGTCATTGTTTTTGAAAGGTTTATAAAACTCCTTTGAATAGTTTGCCTAACTCATTGAAGTGTTTTGGGAGTTTTGGTTGTCAGCATTTCTTTATTTTCCTAATCATCTTTTTTTAATTGAAAATTCATTCTTCATATGAATCATTGAAGTTTTTGAATCTGTGAACATGTATCTTCAGGATGTTTTGGAAAATTCTCAGCTACATGTTACCTCCTTTCTTCTGAATTAAGTAAAACTCAGGTAATACACTTACTGCATCCTTTTGGCTTAGCTAGTTTATATTAATCATTTGTTCAGTTGAGTAAATCTATATAACTAGAGATTTATTTTCAATCAGTGAGTTACTCTCCACACTCTATAAAGCAGTCTTTGAAAGCAACATTTTTGAAGGAACAAAAGAAATAACTATACAATGAGAAAAAATATATAGTGATACATTCAAATTTCTGTCTCTTCATAAGTGTGTGGTGCATATGTACTTTAAGAATTATCTGTGTTCAACAAGTAAAAACTAAATGAAATCAAAGGGATAATTTATTAAAGAAATGAAATTGTTAGTGAAGGCATAAATATTATCAAAATTAAGTAATATTACTTTGCTGTTAATAAAAAGATACCATGAAATTAGCAGTCATATAGCTGGAACTAGGAAAAAACTACCCTGAGTGAGGTAACCTAGACCCAGAAAGGCTTTGTAACAAGGAGGGCTCAAGGGGAGGGGTTTGGGGGGTGGGGTGGGGGGTTGGGGAGTGGGGAGGTAGGGGTGATGCATGGAGTTCCCTGGGAAGGGGAAATAGATTTTGTGGGTGTACTGGGGGCAATTGGGGATGGGCAAGAGGGACCAGGTGGGGTGGGAGTAGAGGGAGAAAGTTCATGGAGAGATGAATAAAACTGGGGTATATTTGGGGGTGGGGGCAATGTTGAAACCTAATGCAGTAGAAATACCCAGAATTCTACAAGGGTGACTGACCTTAGCAAGGACTCCTAGTAATGGAGGATATGGAGCATGTACCAACCATCTTCTGTAATCAGGTAACTGCCAGTGATTTGGAGTAGGACACCAATCAGCAACAAAACCTTCTACCTATTATCTTTCTTTCTTGAAAGATATGCTGGGGCAATGCAGATGCAGAACTTATGATAGTGGCCATGCAATGATTGGTCTGAAAGGAGGCCCATGCCACATGAAAAGAGCCCATGACCAACACTGCTTGGACAACCAGGAACCTGAGGCCGGATAGCCCAGAGACATAAAATATGGGGAAAAAATCAATAAAATAATTCCTAATGATATTCTACTGTACTCGTAATTTGGTGCCTACTTCAGTCATCATCTGAGAGGCTTTCTTCAGCAGACGATGGGAGCAGACACAGAGACCCACAGCCAAACATTAGGCAGAAAGAGAGCCCAAATTGAAGTTCTCTATTGGGTCCCTCCCCTTGGAACTTGGAAAATTCTACAGAAGAAGGGAAGGGAAAAAATGTAGGAGCCAGAGGGGTTGAAGACACTAGGAGAAGATTGTCCATTATATCAACTAAGCAGGGCTCACGGGGGCTCAAGAGACTGAAATGAAAATCACAGGGCCTGCATGAGTCTGTGATATATATATATTAAGGTTGTTAACTTGGTTTTATTTTATTTTATTTTTTTAGGACTCCTAACAGTGGGAACGGAGGTATTTTTTAACTCTTTTGCCTACTCTTGGAACTTTTTTCCTTCTACAGGGCTGCTGCATCCAGCCCTAACTTGAAGGTTTGTGCCTAGTCTTATTGTAACTTGTTATGAAGTGTTCCATTGATTCCCCTGGGAGGTCTGCTCTTTTCTAAAGGGAAACTGAGGAGGAGTTGATCTGGAAGAAAGAGGAAGTGGAGAGGTGGACTGGAAGAAATGGAGAGAGGGAAACAGCCCTTGTGATATATTGTATGAAAGAAGAGTAAAAATTAACAAAGAAAGAAGGTTGGGGATGCATCAGCATCTTGCATTACCTTCTGATTAAAGGTAAAAGGGAAGACAAAAAGTATTAAGACAGATTTCTGTTACTGTTGACTCACTTCTTTCTCAATGTAGCAGCACTCTTTGAACTCGGTTGGGACTTGCTTAGAGTAATGAGTTTACCTTCACAAATCATTGTCCTTTCCTATTTAATCACAAATAAAGCCTCTCTGAACAAGGCAACAGGCATCCGTATCACTTTTTTTTTTCATCCTGCCATATCACTTTTTGAACCTAGAGATTGCTGAAAAATGGTGGGAATTTATCAAACGTGTTGTAATGTAAATGAAAAACTCTCAGTATTCAGAAAAAGTATATTTCATATACAAAATGTGTTGTGTAAAGAGTAAAAAGTATGAGAATATTTTTCTATAATATTAGCAATAATTGTGATTTTTAAATGTGGGAGAATTTAGAAGCCAATAAGTATTTCAAAGGGAGAACAGGTACCAAAACACCCCTAACAACCTCAAGGTTTCAGCACTGACTTGGCAGTATTCTCTGTGCAAACAGGAATGAAAAGATAAAATTCTACCCAAATGAATCAAATAAGTAATCCCTTGTGAATAGTTACAAGAAGTTTTTTTTTAATTCACTAATGAGTTTCAGTGTATTTGCATAGGAAGAAAGAAATGGTTTGCATTACTAGTACAGAAATAACTGCATCTGCAACATAAAAGAACCTAGGCTCATAAGAAGACTTGGTTGATAAGGGCACTTATTGCAGGTCTCAAGAACTGTACTCCATCTTAGGAACCCACACAGTAGAAAGAGAGTCAGTGCCTGAAAGTTGCACTTTCACATGTACATGCATACCTTGGCATGACCGCCCCCCCCCACACACACACCAAGGAATAGATATATTTCATACTCTAGAGTTATTTAGTAATTGAAAAATGATCACATATGTTTATTATTATTTACGAGCTTTCATAGCATCAAATGCAAGAGGGGAATTTTGCTAATTTTCCTGGAGGTTTGATAACCAGGTTAATACATTTCCATCAGTAAATATAATTTATGGAGTGATCGACAAACACACTCATTTATGAAGTAAAATATCAATCATTTCTCTGCCTTTCCATTTCAGTAAGATTTCTAGATTTTTTTCTGTTTATGTGTTACATTAAAAAAATCCTTCCTGTTTTCAACATCCTTGGATAGCACTGATAATTTTGCTCGATTATTCTCCATCAATTCCAAAGCAATGGGGTGGAGAACCTAAGAAAATGACATTATAAAATCTGAAATTAATGATGCATTGACTGGGAAGTCTGGCCATAAATCTAGAGAACAAACAAACCCCAGCTGGTTTCACAGGTGCGGTGCAGGTGGGCACTGGGAAATTATTTTGAACTGTATGAAATGTGGTCTTGCTATCTCAGTTGAAACTACAGTAGTAAATTGTGAGGATTTATCATTACATTCTAATTAAGATTCACTTCAAATGAGATAGCTCTTCAGTGCATATTTTCCCCAAATAGAACTGTCATCATATTTTTAAGGTGTATAGAAATGTACATATTTCTGTATTGTTGTTGGTATTGATTGTATCTATTGTTAATAAATGTTATAAAATTTTTCAAGAAGAAATATAATCAATTCTGTACCATTTATTATTTTTAAAATTTGTATTTTGATTTTGCACTCTGAAAATAAAATCATTATAAATAATTTTGTGTAGATAATATGTCCCCATGATTCTCCCATACTTAACTGCTAGGTTCATAGAGTATCCTCATTTGAGAGGACACTGGGACCTGAAAAGGAAGAAAAAGAGTAATTACAAGTCAAGAAGTATGATAAGTATTATCTCAGATTGGTTACCAAGGCTAACATCAGCTTAATTTCTTGTGTTGCTAATAGATGATCTTTAGAAGCTGTGACTAGTGTGTCTCTTTTAAATGACATGCTTCTTTTCCAAAAGCATGGCCCCAGCTTACTCAAGATGCAAACATCAAATAAACTTCAATCAAAGCCTGGTTGGAGCATACCTGAGTGTGGTTACTCTCAGCTGCCCAGTGGAGAACAGATAGATGACTCCATAGTTGAGAGCATCTGATACTCCTTCAGAGGCCTGAAGTCTATTTCCCAGGACCCGAATTGAGTGCCTTACAACTGCCTATAACTCCAACTCCAGGGCTGCTCCACCATATTCTGTTCTACTCAGGCATCTGAAACCAAGTAGCATAAATTTAAAGAAAATATAAATTATATCTTAAAAAGAAATAAATTTTCCAGTGATGTGAAGCAAGAAGAGCCTGAATAACTTTGGCAAACATGAACAGCCATCAGAAACATAAGGGCAATTAAATTCAATGAGGTAATCTGCACAGGACATGGGAAAAGAAACAATATTAGGCACATGAAACACAAATATAGTAGGGTGCAGTTATTTTTAATAATTAAGCAGTGTGAGATTTTTAAGACAAATATATAATGCAACTAACCAGTTAATAATAAACAAAACTGCAATGCATAGGAACTCTCTTTTACTTTCAACATTTTACTGTAATACACAAGTGTATTTGTGAAATATAGCTATAAACGGTATGCAGGCCGTATACTCTGGGCCTGTAGAATTAGATTGGATTCTGAGGTTCTATATGTCATTCAAAGTCCACAAATAGTTACTGTTGATGACACTGCTAATCCTGATTAAATTCTATTGTCACCAAATAATGTCCGTGGGTCTGAAGAATTCATGTCAGATGTAATTTGCGATACATGCAAATTCTTCCTAAGATCTACTGAGCATCTTGGAATGGAATACAGCAATAAGTTTTCTAGCCACCAATGTGGAAAGACTAACACTAACATACAATAAATGTGGACTCAAAACCAGCAACTCCTGATCCATTCTTCCTCTCCTTTGCCTTCTTACTGTTGTCTGAGTAGGAATGAGAGACACACCGTAAGTGAAGGCATGGCTGGAAGGAGTAGTGTGAGTATACTGAATTGTCAAAAATGATTTACCAGTTTATCTTAGAGTTAATGGAATTTAAGGCAAGATAACTGGATTCAAGTGGTTTGTTCACTGATGACCAGAGTCACTAGCTGTGAACTACCCATGGAGGTCATCTTTAGATGGAAGGGTCAGTTATGAATCAGTGACAGACCCACAGAAAGCCCTATCCCTGTTTGCTGAACTACTGTCTGCCATTGGTCTTGGGGAAAGAGGAAAAAATTGTCTTCAATTGCACAGTGATGGTTCCAAACCCAGAGTCATACAGATAGTCTTCCTTAAATTCAGTTGCTCTAAATAAGGGGAAGCAGGATAAGGTAGTATAAGAAAAGAAAGGAGCCGGACGGTGGTGGCGCACGCCTTTAATCCCAGCACTCGGGAGGCAGAGGCAGGCAGATCTCTGTGAGTTCGAGGCCAGCCTGGTCTACAAAGCGAGTTCCAGGAAAGGCGCAAAGCCACCAAGAAAAACCCTGTCCAAAAAAACAAAAAAAAAAAAAAAAAAAAAAGAACAGAAAGGAGATTAGATAAGATGAGGATTTCAATAATAAGAATGGACTTCATATGTCTATGAAATACCCAAAGAACACATTTACTAAAAGTTTAAAGAGGGAATAAGTATATTAAAGATCACATATGTAGCACCAAACAATATCAATCGAAGTACAAACATCAAAGGTCTGTGATTGGTTGAGTCTTCCACACCACTCATATCCATAACCAGAGTGATGCTTTTCTGTTTCTTATTTTCTCTATTTATTGAATAGGCAAATGGAAGCAGACTGTAATTCTTTTTTTTTTACCTTTTAAAAGGATTTATTAGCTTTGTAAAAGGCTAGACTGAAATCTTCATATGATTTCCTTTAATATTAAGACAAAGATGCCAACACCACTCCTTATAAATACACATCATAACAAAAGTAAGGGATGTAACTGTCTTTATGCATAAAGGATCATGATACCTTTTGTGACATGTTTAATGTCACCAATTTTATTCTTAAACACCCCTCTCCCCACTGAGCAGATAGCACTGTCCAGTGAAACGTATAGGAATGGGGG